AGAAGCAAACAGCATTTGGGCTGCACTACTACCCTTTTCAGCTGAGAACTAAAACAAATATGTCTCTCTTTTTTCTCTTTCCTGTTTGTTTCAAATCCTGCCAGTACACCTTTGCTTTAGAGACAAGGAATGTAGTGCAGACAGGCAAAAATTTAGCTAGGCAAGGTGGAGAACTGCAAATGGCAATGCGAGAGACAGAGCTAGAATACAAGAGCAGGGGATAAGAGGACAGGAAGTGAGTCCAGGGAGTGTAGGGGCACTGGCAGACAGTTCCCTTGAGATGCTCTTGCTTGCCCATAGCCTAGCAGCAGCACAGAAACCAAGCTTGGCCCATGAATCCCTCCCGTTCTGAGCCCCTGTTTCCCAGACAATGCAGCTCAAGGCCTTGGAAGCACAGATGGGATCCCTGACCTCCCGACTGACAGCTGCAATCTCTCCTTCAGACATTTGAATCTCATCGATGAGATCTCTCAGAGTGCCTCCGTCCATGTACTCCATCACCAGCCAGAGTTCCTCATGCACAAGGTAGCTGAAAAAAGGAAACAAGGCCATGCAGGTGAACATGCACGCCTAGGTTGGTTTTTTGCTTGAGTCTTGTTTCTGGGTCCCTTGGAGACAAGGGCAGAAGAAAAGGAATAGACATTGCCTCTAGGCTGTGCAGTGTTTGCAGTCTGTGCTGTCTCAAGGAGAAAGGCAGTTTAGGAAGAGCCCAGATAAAAAACCTGTCACGCATGGCATTTCTGGAAATAAGCACCTAGTCTTCCTGGCATGCACAGCAATGGAAAAGAGGGGCAACAATGCAAGGGCAATCCTCTCTTGGATGGTTCATCAGCATTTAAGAAACTTGAAAAACTCAAGCCCAAAGAACTGTGGAGGCAATGAACTTAGAAGGTATTGAATTCTTAAGATAGGGCTGATGCAGGTTTTTGAACAATGTCCAGTCTGCATTTGCCAGGGTGAGATTCATGCAGACAAAATGCAGTCTCTTCCCATCCATTGGAGATAAGTAGAGAAATAATCATTAACAGCTCTATTTCCTGCCAGTTACCAAAGTGGGTTTTTAAGCTCTCATGCTTGTAGTATGTAAACAAACATTCAAGGGATATGACCATGACCACTCACCTGGCTAAGTAATTCACGATCCTGGGACTCCTATTGCTCTCCATGATCCTGATTTCATTCATGGTTAGTATCTTCCTACTCACTCCTTGCACATTTATTTTCTTTATGGCCACCTCAAATGACATTGAAAGGAGTAATTTGAGAAAATTGGTAGCATGAGACCACAACACACATGGAGCAAGTGATTTTGGAATGGCACAGCCAAGCTGTGCCAAAGTGCCTTGTGATTAGACCTCATCACTGGAGTAATTAGGGAGTGACATTCCAACAGCCCATTTCTCTGTGCCCTTGGGGGTCAGTTACAGGACATGTGGCCACTGGCGATTTGCCTTGTCCACAAAGCCTGTTCCAAGTGCAATTTGCAGGCTGGCTCCAGTCTGTGCTTCTTGTGCCTTTTCAGCACAGCTCTACTCAAAGCTCCAGCCACAGCTGTCAGCAGTGGGGAAAGGCCTGGAGAGCAGCAGAGGCTGCAGGGGCTGTTGACATTTACCTCTCCTCCTGTTGCAATGTCAAGTGCTCTGGAAACCTCTCCAAAACCCCTAGAAACAAAACAGCAGCAAAGAAAGGAGAAGCCATTTAGATCTTGCAGTGGAAGCCAGTCCAGACTGGAGAGCTCTGCTGTAAATGCCTAAAAGCTGCAGGTTGCAGGAGGGGTCTGCCAGAAGGCAGATGATGCATTTTCCCCTCAAGTGCCTGGGCACTGGGCCTGTTCCTGAAGCCTTGGGCTTTACTGCCTCAGCTCCAAAAGGCAGCTTATTCCTTCATCTCGGCTATCAGCTTCTAAACTGTGCAATTCTAATCCTGAGCACGGAGTATTTCCTTTAGCAAACTCTTGGAGAGAAATGTTCCTGAGAACTGTTATCTGACAGCTCTCATTGGGGGTAGGTTGTGCTTTCAGGCAAGCAAGATTCTTCTCCTTTCATTAGTGTGGCCAGATGATTTGGAGACATCCAAAAATGCGAAGGAAATGAATCCTGAG